GACTCCACGGCACATAACAACAACAACAACATAGGTTGGAACCAACTCAATCACACATCAACAACATGAGTCAGAACGAACTTGACAGCACTTAACAACAAAAACAATGTACTTCATACATTGTCTGACAAAGGCCTTAAGAAACAGGGTGTGTTTGTTGTTGTTAAGTGCCATCAAGTCGGTTCTGACTCATAGAGACCCTGTATAGGGTTTCCAGGGAGCAGCTGGTGATTTTAAACTCCCGACCTTGCAGTTCAAACTGACCTTGTGGTCCAGTGCTTATCCTACAGTGTCACACCAGGACTCCTAAGGTGTATTGTTGTTAAGTGCTGTCGTGTCTGTTCAGGTTTCCAAAGAGCGGCTGGTGAATTTGAACCACTGACCTTGCGGTTCAAACCAACCTTGTAGTCTAGTGCATTATCCCACAGCACCACACCAGGACTCCAAAAAAGGTGTGGGAGGTATCCAAATTAATTACTCAGCCACATGGAAGAATGACGCTCTGGTGCATGCTACTTTGAAAACAGATCACCGTCATGAAAAGTCTGTGGAGTACAGTTCTACTCTGAAACACATGGCTTCACCATGAGTTGGAATGGATCAAAGGCAATTGGCTTGTTTGGGGGCGGTGGGGAGAACAGTGTTCCTTGAATGGGAAGGAGACAGAGTCTACTGTGTTTGAGGGAACGCAAAGATTAGCAACAACATAACAAAACCCTCAGCCTTCAGAGAACTGAAAGCCCTCTAAGCAAACGGGTACAATTCAGGGAGGGAAAGTCTACCTCTGGGGAGAGGCTGTGTGCCTATAGCTGCAGCACATCTGACACCTCAAGTGTGGCATTTCTCTGACTGTAGTCAGGAACCCATTGATGAGTCATGAAATCTATTCAGAAGTTGTTGCTCTTGTTTTTAAAAATGTATAGCCAAAACAAAACAAAACAAAACAAAACAAAACAAAAAATGCAGAGGGAATAGATGCAAACACTGTTGAAAGATGATGCATGGAGGGGATTATAATCACTGCAATGAAACAAAAAACAGCATGAGTGTGCAAAATTGATGTTCTCCCATGTAAACTATCCCTCAATTCACAACAAGAGCTTTAAAACAAAACAAAATGTATAGCCAATATCTTAGTGGGAACTGAGAGGGAAGGAGTCTTCATATCAAGTATTAATTCTATCCCCTCCATATACAGAGTAAATAGGAGTCGTCAACTTAGACATTGGCTACCTAAAATGAGGGGTGATAAAGGCACAAAGTGACTGGCTAACAAGTTTCCAAGAGGGAGTTTAGTTTTAGAGTGTGCGGGGGAAGTTACAGTCCCCACTGAATAGTTTTCATCTTTTCTAGACGGATCTAGTGAAAAGAGATGGGGACACGATTCTGATGAGTCAACAGTGAGTCACAACTGTAAGGTAGACGTTTTGTAACAAATATGGGAGAGTAGTTAATCTTACAGTTCAGAAACATTGGACCCTAGGCCCATCAAGGGTTATGAGCATGAGCAGAATGTGGAATCCTATCCAGAGAAGCAGCGATGCCAGATATGGAGA